GTGCCTGCACACAGCCCCTAGCTGCCCTCTTCCCTGCACCCTGAGCTACCCCTGTGCCTGCACACAGCCCCTAGCTACCCCCCCTCCCTGCACCCTGAGGTACCCCCCTGCCTGCACACAGCCCCTAGCTACCCCCCCTGCCTGCACACAGCCCCTGGTTACCCCCTGCCTGCACCCTATGCTACCCCCTTACCCACACACAGCCCCTAGCTACCTGTCTCCTTGCACCCTGAGCTATTTTCAAACTTTTTGTGCTGAACCCCGCCCTCCCCCTTTGAGTTATAATTTTTGTTTGTACTCCCCATAACCCAGTTTGTCTGGGTTGTGGGGAGTCGGAGTGGAGGTGGTGCGGAAGCCGTTCCATACCCCTAATAATTTTTGTTGCCCCTTTCTGAACCTTTTCCAATTCCAATATATCTTTTTTGAGATGGGGCGACCACATCTGCATGCAGAATTCAAGATGTGGGCATACCAAGGGTTTATATAGAGGCAACATTATATTTTCTGTCTTATTATCTATCCCTTTCTTAATGATGCCCAACATTGTTTGCTTTTTTGACTGCTGCTGCACGTTGAGTGGATGTTTTCAGAGAACTATCCACAATGACTCCAAGATCTCTTTCTTGACAGCTAATTTAGACCCCATCATTTTGTATGTATAGTTGGAATTATGTTTTCCAATGTGCATTACTTTGCATTTATCAGCATTGAATTTCATCTTCCATTTTGTTGCCCAGTCACCTATTTTTGAGAGATCCTTTCGTAGCTCTTCGCAGTCTGCCTGGGACTTAACTATCTTGAGTAGTTTTGTATCATCTGCAAATTTTGCCACCTCACAGTTTACCCCTTTTTCCAGACTATTTATGAATATGTTGAATAGGACTGGTCCTGTTCAAAAAAAGAAATAGTTGCCGTCAGTGCTAGCCTTTCTTCTCCTCCTTGCCTCTGCCCACTTGTTCTCCTCATAAGATATACCCATATGCACATGCCCAAAGATGTTAGTTAAAATGATACGCTAGAGATTTTCCCTATTGAAAATGTAGATTGACACCCCCCCTACTTTCAGTAGAGACACACACAAAGTATGGTTTATAGTGCACAACTCTGGTTTTGCTTGGACTTTTGCTTTTGAAGGCACTTTTCTAATGTGTGTTATGCTCTACAATCTTTGGAGAACACATTCAAGTAGAAGAGAGAACTACTAGGGAGCAGTCATGTTGACTCAGGCTTTTCTAATGACCTTGAAGAGATTTAAACAAACTTTAAATAGTCTTCTTTAACCTACATTTATGGTGGGGGGGAAACATTTTCTAAAAGCCAGATTATAGGAAACATTCATTTATCGCAAAGTGGTTGTCAGATGTGACTTGACCCCTGTATGCAGAAGATCACTTTTGCTGGGTAGATGAGAATCAGGACTTCATGCAGCAGCATAGCACACTCTAAATATACATGTCAGGAAGCAAAGGATAGCTTTTGATTAATGCAGTGAACTGGCCACATCTTTTGGGAGCTAGCCAGTTAAATATTAGTTGCATCTGCAGCTCACTACTGAAAAAACATGCTGGTGAGCGTTAGAGATTTTACTTTAAAGAATTCTCATTTCACTTTTTCTGCTAGTTCACCTAAGGGCAGCAAAAAACAAACAAACAAAAACTATGAAAAGGATTATTTATAGGTGTGCATTAAAGCAGCTTTACCCCATTGTAAATATATTACATTGGGCCGTGTCCACTTCTCAAATTAAATTATTCAGAGCAGAATATAAATGCTGACTATGCACATCTGAGATGTCCAATCTGTCTCCTTGATTATGCGATCATTAAACTTAGTTTCCATTCTTAACTTTACTGAAGAATGTTTGCTGAAGTTGGCTTAGCTGAGGAGGGGGGGAGATGCATCTGTGTAGATGGTTAATGAACCTACTTCCAGTTGGATGGATGAAGGTTACAAGATGGTAAGTTTTTCAAAGTGGGGGCTGTCTCTTCTTATGTTGCATAGTGCCTCGTACAATAGGGCTTCAGTCTTCATTGGTTCCTCTTGGCACTGCTGTTATACAAATAAAGAAAATGAATTTGGCTCCTTTGAAATAAGAATAAGGAAAATGTGTTTAGCTCCCTCCATCTAGTTTCCAGTGAACCTCATAATACAACATAGTTAGTTAGTATGGAGTCATTCATACATCCTGTATTCCAATGTGTTTTACAGGAGTTAAATAGTAACTGAAGGGGGGATGATGGGACATAGCTGAAGGAGGAAAAGAAAAGGGTTTTTAGTTGAGATTTCAAAGAATAGAATCTTTGCTAAGCAGAGAGATACAGGAAGACTGTGCAGAAAGGAGAAGAGTCAGAGATCATGAGATCACATGGAAAGGCAGAAGAAGCCAGTGCTAGAGGGAGCAGGGTGGGAGTAGAGAGAAAGCCCTCGAGGTAGGATGCAGCATATCCATAGAGACTTGTAATAAGGAGGGAAATTTTGGTCTGAATCTTGGAAAGAATCTGGAATTCTGGGTGAGGCAAAGTCACTAAAGAAAGGTCCAGTACAAGAATAGCAGGAAAGATACACTGCAGGAAAAATATTTGAGCATCATGTATTCATCTGTGCCAGATTCTGCTGTAGAATGTGGCCCAAATAGCTCTCTGCTTGTGAATGTGGGTGCAACTCCCCTGACTTCAATGGTGTTTTGCCTATTTATGCCATCAGAGAAATTGGCCTATTTGACTTATGAACCCTAAAATTATTTCAGAGTGTAGAATATTGATAGGAAATAATTTTGCATTCACTTTTGGATAAATTCTCTTCAATATTTTCCTGGGTGTGTTTGTTATATAATAAATAATACAGTAATAGGACTCAGAATTGCAGAATGATGGTGAATGCATCTGTTGAGATATCAGAGGAAATGTCTATAGGATGATCTACAAGATTTTATGTTTAGCATAATCCACAGCTTTATTTAGCAAAGGTTCAGTATCTTCTAGATCTTATGAAATCCAAAGATGTGCTTCTGAAGGTTTTATTGGGCCTAAAGCAGATTTCTCTCCATCCATCATTACTAATAGTGTTGATTTCAGTGCAAGACAACCTTGCTGATATTAAAATGTAATGCAATTTAACTCTTTTCCCTTCCCCCACTTTGTATTATTCATGTTCAAGTTCAGCAGCAAAATGCTCATTACTTAAACTGGGTAGAAGAACCATATTTCCTGCTCTTAAAATGACAAGCGTATTTAATACACAAAAGTCAGTGAACACTGCAGATTAAGGGCTCTTCTTCACAATATATCTGTAGCCTTTTGCATAGGAGAAGCATGTTTACTCCCAGACTGATCTCTTGCATGTGACCAAATGATCCCTCCTCCCCCATCTCCTTTTGAAGTGAATGAGGTGGTCATTTAAAGGTAGTGGGTGAGCAGCTCTGGGAAGTACGTCCTCTCTCTGAACACTACAGGAACAGTATAAGAAACAGCAATGCCCTGTCAATGTGCCTCAAACTTGAACTACAGGGACCACCTTGTGGTGTGAGAGGGTGGTCTTTCCATGTCCATTCAGCTCTCTGCCAAGACTAATGAGGATACTAATCACTGATTAGTTTAGTTAGTCTGTATAGACTTAGCTCACAGAAAGTACTTGCCTAGGTGGCACAAAATTGAAAGAAGCTGGAGGCTTCACTCAGTTGAAACTTTTCCTTCCATGCTCAACATCCCACCAAATTCAATAGGAACACAATGAATCCTGCACAAATATGGATTCCCCAGTAGAGAAGTGTGAAGCACACCTCAAAGGAATGTTAACAATGGGTATAACCGGATTCCCCAAGAAGACCTATTGTAATGTCTGTCCTTCCTGCATTCAGAAACCAGTGAGTATGGGGTGATTGCCGAAATATTGTTCGGGACTCTTGGCACAGGGCATCAAAGCCAACTAATAAAGACATTCCATTGTACTCTTATATTCTGTTTCTTCTGTGGTTAACTTGTTCCTCTTTAAGGCCTTGGCTACACTTACCCGCTAGTTCGGCGGCTGGCAATCGAACTTCTGGGTTCGACTTATCGCGTCTAGTCTGGACGCGATAAGTCGAACCCGGAAGTGCTCGCCATCAACTGCGGTACTCCAGCTCGGCGAGAGGAGTACCGCGGAGTCGACGGGGGAGCCTGCCTGCCAAGTGTGGACCAAGGTAAGTTCGAACTAAGGTACTTCGACTTCAGCTACGTTATTCACGTAGCTGAAGTTGCGTACCTTAGTTCGAATTAGGGGGATAGTGTAGACCAAGCCTTAGTATTGTCAAAGCAGAACACATTAAAATAGAGAACAGCTGTGCTCCAAAGGTAGGTGCAAGGACAAGTCAAATAGTTCTCCCATTCATCTGTCATTTTACTTTCTTGTGGCATGGCATTCTTCTCAGGGAGAGCATCCTTGCCGAGACAAATCTATCATTCCCATTTCATATTTCTTAAAGGACAGGGTGTAAGATCCACTTTCTCTCCCCTCACCCAATATGACCTGCCCGGTTATACAGTTGATCTTCTGTGTGGGTGGGAGGGGAACAAGCTTAAGATGGCTGCTTAGCATATCTTGTGACAGTAGTGGTGTCTCTGCCAGCTTCCTAAGGAGAAGACCAGGAAAACTGCAGGCACATGTTAATAGTGTATTAATTAAAGCATTCTTCCAACTCCTGGCTTTCCACGTCTCCTTCCTCAGATGTGGCATAGAATTTCACATGATTTGTATTGATTTAATTTAGCAAAACTATGTTCATTCCTGTATCTTATTTGATAGTTGAATAGAAATTGCTTTCATTCACCAGTAATAAAAAGCTGTAGCTGATCAGTTTGTAGCTACAGGGTGAGGAGTGGGGAGAGAGCAGCCATGCATACTTTGGGCAACCCTGTGACCTAGGAATTGCTTGTACAGGCTATACCCTGAAGACAAGCATAGAAGTTGCTGTGGTTTGAAAATCAGAGAGAAGGAGCAGGAGATGACTCTAGCCTAGAACTGGAGGGATGAGTAGTACACTATGGAGTTGATCTTCACTCATGTAAAGAACCTCTCAGACACACTTCATGCTTTCAGGCCAAGCAGAAGAGAACTTGCACAATTCCTAATCAATGTGCAATACTCTTAATGTGGAGGCACAGAAGGAGAGTTCCTGACAGGATAGAAAATGCGATCTCAGCAGGGCTGTCCTGAGACATTGTGGTGTCCTATGCAGTCCACCCCTGAGTGGGGGGCTGGCATCCCCAGGCCTCCGCACGGGGTGTGTGTGCACCCAAGGTCTGTGGGGGGCAGGAGCAGGCTTGGGGGGCAGGGTGGAAACTGCATCCCAAGTGTGAAAAATCGGGACGGGGTGGGGGATAATAGGAACCTATATAAGAAAAAGCCCCAAATATCAGGACTGTCCCTATAAAATCGGGACATCTGGTCACCCTAATGAGCCGACAAAATGGAGCGGGTTGGGGCCAGGTTGCTCAACTTCCTGCTGCCTGGTGATTGCAGGGCAGGCCTGACCCTGCACTCACGGGGCGGCGGGAAGTGGTGTGACCTGGCCCCAACCCGCTCGGCTCTGCTCCCCTGGCTCCCAGCCTTGGGACTTGGGGGGCAGAGGGGAACAGCCCCCCAGCACTCACCAGTGGTGTGGTTGGGAGCCGGTGGAGCGGGCTGGGGTCTGGGTCACTCCACTTCCCGCCGCCCTGTGAGTGCGGGGTTGGGCCTGACCCCTGCTGCAGTCCCCGGGATGTAGCTCAGGGAAAGTGATGGAGTGAGGGCGGGGCTGGGGCGGAGCAGGGGTAGGAAGAGGAGGGACAGAGCAGGGGTGGGGGCAGCTTTCCTGGCCGCTCAGCTGGCTCAGGGGATCGGGCTGGCCACTGGAGCAGCACACAGCTGCATAGGGCCTGGTGCCCTATGCAGCTGCGTGGTTTGCGTATGGGTAAGGACAGCCCTGGATCTCAATTAGGGGAAGTGAATTCTTTCAGCCTTTTAGACTGTACTGCAGAAGGGGACTGTATAAGCTCTGTAGATCATGTGTAACTTATCCCTTTCAACTCTAAATGTAGTTCACTGAGGCACTCTGTGAGGATGGAAAATCATGTCAGACAGGAATACACGAGAGATGTTGAAGCAAAGAATACTGTATATGGCCTTACTTGGGGGGGGAAAAAAAAAAGTTGCGCATTGAACAGGAAGATTTGGTATAAAAGATTATTATGTTATGATGTTTCTTGTGAAGCAAAAGCAGACAAGACTTAACAGCTGGCTGTTGTAAGAGGGATTGATCTCTATTGCATAGGGCACAGAGGCAGATGGATACCAAGTAGATTAAATTAAAGAAAGACAAATTTAAAATATTGATTGGTCTTTCAGAGAGTTAAGGGCCAAAAGGGATCACCTGATCATCTAGTCTGACATCCTGCATATCACAGGCCGCTAAACCCCACCCTTTACTGTGCACAATAACCTGCATTAGGCAGAAGTGTTACAGCCCTAATGGGGCTTTAACTATTATGTGCCACAGACCAACAGTAGGAGGGACTGTGATGCACCAATGTCTGGGGCCCCTTCAATTGCACGGAATTGTTTTAGTGAGGTGTACTCAGATGATCCTAGTAAGCAACCCACACTTTGTGCTGCACAGGAAGACAGGGAAAAAAACCTGCTAGGTTTCTGCCAATCCGACCCGGGGCAAAAATTCCTTCCTGCCTGTGAAAATAAGTCAGTATAACTCTGAGCATGTGAGCAAGACACAGCAGCCAAGCATTTGAAAAAGAGACTTGTGTATTGCCTCAGAGGACTGGCCGTCCCTCTCTGGTGTTCCATCTCCAGTCGTAGCCATCTCTGTTTCAAAGAAAGGAATGTGGCTGGAACAAAGTACACTGAGAGCAGGAGTGGGAATCCTTCCTGACCCCTAAACGTGACTGGCTGAAGCATTAGCTTTAGGAACATAAGTTGTAGGGTCAGAAGGTACCTCTTGAGTCACTGAGCACAGCCCCCTGTCACTGGAAGCAAACCTGTAAAATTATCCCACTCATACATTTATGAAGCTCTTTTAGAGT